TTCTTCAGCTGAGCCTCCAACTGCAGAATATCTACGAGAGAGAGGATCCATACGTGTCCAGTGGGGGGACTCGTGTCCCCCATTTCCCAGCGCTGCTTCTCATCGTCTTTGCTTACAATCCCTGGTACCGGTTATCCTTGGATTACAACCGGTTCGAAGTTACAATGGCCTTGGAAAGTAAACTTACAGCCCCTTCTCGAAGTGGATTTGGACTTATGACCGTATGGTTCCCTTAATGAACACTGCCACTTTTGTAATGACTGTTGTAAAAATAATGGTAAAATTGAGTTCTGGTCACACAGTGACTTGTCTTATGACCGCAATGACTTACAACCAAAAGGCTCCAATACGGTTGTAAGTTGCGGACTACTTGTAAAGTATCTTATGTCTTCACTCTCACCCAAACATTCTATCATTTTTCAAACTCTATGGTTAAGGTATAGGGCAGTGGTGGCTAACCTTTTTGGGCTCCTGTGCCAAAAATTGTGCGCGTGGTTGCATGCTCACGTTAGCGTGCCAGAAAGCAATGCACCCCCCCACCCCTTATGCTTGCGCGTGCAATCCCCCCGCCCCTTACCTGCACTGCGCCTCACAGCTGATTTTCGGCCGGGTTGAGGCCTTTTTCGGCCTCCCAGAGGCTTCAGGAAGGCTTCTGCAGGCTGAAAATTAGGCCTGTTCTGTCATTTCCTGTTTTTCCAGAAATACCAGAAATGACGAAACGGTCCTAGTTTTCATCCTGAAAAGCCTGCAGAAGCCTTCTTGAAGCCTCTGGGAGGCCAAAAAAGACATCAAACCGGCCAAAAGTCAGCTGTGAGGCACACGCATTCGCAGTGAGGTAAGTTTGCCCGCAGGTCGCATGCCGGCACAAATGGCTCTATGTGCTACCTGTCGCACGCATGCCATCGGTTCGCTATCACGGGCATAGGGAATTCATGAATTGACATGAACCTCACCAAATGTCTTGCCTGGAAATCTGCTGTGGTTTTTCTGTTCATACCAAAAAGTGCAATCTGGAGAGGCTGGAGACATTGGCCAAAGTATTGGCAATCTCCATTGATGAAGGTTTCACCTGAAAACTCTGAGATCAGTATCAATCCAGAGCAGTGCATCTTATTCAAAATCTCACCGGAATCCTGTTCAAGGAGATTTCTTTTGAGTCTTGCTCGGTAAGACTAACCACGATGTCAGCTTTGGAAGCCATGTTAGCACCAGAAGCTTCCACGCTGCCACATTCTTGTGCTAGGGAAATTGGGAGGGGGGATTTCATGGAGCGTTGTGTAGTTTAACATAATAGCATTCTTCTTTACAGTCAAGGTCATGTTATTCCTGCACCTGGATGAGGATTGGTTGAGGGGGGATGTCTCAAGTTGGGATGGATGGTGATTGGGGCATGTGATGGAATGATGAGTGCAGGGGATGGACTTGTGATTTTTAATTATTGAAGGAAAACCCAGAACTCTCATATTGGGGGTTTCTCAATAGTATGACTTTTCCAATAAAAAGAAACTTTGAGAAAATGCCTGTCTTGCAGTTTTTGACTGGAGTTTGTCAGAGTATATTCATGAACTGGAATAAAGCTTAGTAACAAGGTCAGCCAATGAGAGCTGAATTGAGGGCTGAAACTTAAAAGAGATAATGTGGGTGTGGTTTATCTCTGTTCGTGCTGAGTTCAAAAGTGAAAGAGAAACTAACTTGCTTCCTTGCCTGCTGAACTAAAGCGAAACTGATGTCTGTTTCTGAGCTAAAGCTGAGCTGCTGTTCTGCTCTGAACCTGTAACATGTCTGCTTCTGTTTGAGTTTGCTCCATGTTGGAGAAATCTACAACTGGTATTGTAAAATTTACTTTATGCTTTTATGAAGAAGTTAAATGAAGCCTTAGTCATCTGTGTTTACTTTTCTGGCGCTGAATTTATGCTGCAATACTCTGAACAGAGTTTGGTTTTGCTGGAAGGCTGACATTTTAAATGGACTTTAAACCCAAGCCGTGCACAACAACAACAACAACAACAACAAAAACCTCTTTGAAACTTTCAAAAGAGTCTCATGGAAATTATTCCAAATGGAAGAGAATTTCCATTATTGTGGAACACCATCGTGAGAAGATGTTCAATAATGGCCAGTTGGATACTCCCATCAGCAGAATTAGCTGAGAGAGAGAGAGACACACACACACACGGCCTCGCAAGGCAGAAGTTCCACTGTTAGATTACACCTTAAACCCCCAAACGGTTCAACTTGCATTTGTTTCACCTGCTTTGGTAAACCGTTACTCCTATTTCCTGGTTTGGGAGCAAACCGTTGGGAAACAGAAGGGCAATTAAAAACGACATACATTCTTGCGTGCCTTGCTTGAAGGTGTCGTTGATCTGCTGGAACATAGACTGGCAGCTCTTCTCGAAAGCAGGTAGAACTATACTCTGAAAGGCCTCTCGAAATGCTGTCTGCATGGGCACCTGTAAGGTATCAGTGGCTGCCCGGGCGATGGTGTCGATAAGGTTCTGGAAACCAACAAGGCAGAAAAACCCCCAGGATTAGCAAAACGGTCTCCATGCAACAGAGGTCACTAAAGAAGGGGCCCCTCCTCTCTTTGGCTGAAGCACTAATCCTGCTGCTGTCTTAAGGCTGTTTATGCCGGTAGTCCTTGACTTACAACCATTTATTGAGTGATCGTCTGAAGTGATGATGGCAGGGGGAAAAAGTGAATGGTGACCAGAGCGGCATCCATAGAGACACATGATCAAACTATGTGTGCTTGACAATCAGGCAGGTACTTACTTACAATGGTTGTGGCATTCTGGGGTCATGTGATTGCCATCTGTAGCAACAGCAATAGCCCTTAGACTTATATACCACTTCACGGTGCTTTTACAGCCCTCTCTAAGCGGTTTTGCAGAGTCAGCACACTGCCTCCAACCATCTGGGTCCTCATTTTGCCGACCTCAGAAGGATGAAAGGCTGAGTCCGCCTTGAGCCAGTCAGGATTGAACTGATAGCAGTGGGCAGAGTTAGCCCGCAATGCCACATTCTAACCACTGGGAAGAAGGAAGGAAGGAAGGAAGGAAGGAAGGAAGGAAGGAAGGAAGGGAAGGGAAGGGAAGGGAAGGGAAGGGAAGGGAAGGGAAGGGAAGAGAAAGGAAAGGAAAGGAAAGGAAAGGAAAGGAAAGGAAAGGAAAGGAAAGGGAAGGGAAGGGAAGGGAAGGGAAGGGAAGGGAAGGGAAGGGAAGGGAAGGGAAGGAAGGAAAGGAATAGCAATAGCCCTTAGACTTATATACCGTTTCACAGTGCTTTTACAGCCCTCTCTAAGTGGTTTTACAGAGTCAGCCTCTTGCCCCCAACAATCTGGGTCTTCTTTTTGCCAACCTGGGAAGGATGAAAGGCCAAGTCAACCTTGACCCTGGTGAGATTCAAACTGCCAAAGTGCAGGCAGCCGGCAGTCAGCAGAAGTAGCCTGCAGTACTGCACTCTAACCACTGTGCCACCATGGCTCATTTTTTGTAACGTTCTGATGGCTTCAAACAGGTCAACAAGTCAGTGGGGAAAGTGGGATTGGCTTAATCGTTGTGTCATTCACTTAAGAACTGCACTTAACACTGTAGCAAAAAAAAAAAAAGTTCGTAAAATTTGGCGCAACTCATTTAGGACCTGCCTTGGTTAGCATTGGAAATTCTTGTCCCAATTGTGGTCATAAATCGAGGACTGCCTGTAGCTTCAAGCTGAGCAGGTGTGTCACCTGAACAGAACAGCCAGCACAGAATGTGCTGGTACAGGCTCCAAAACAGGTGTCTGTCATAGCAGAAAGAATTGGAAAGAAATCTCCTCTTGGAAGCTCCTCTCACCTTCGATTTCACCAGTTTGGCAATGTT